TGCAACACACAGTTCATGGAGGAGGACAGTTACTGTGGCGCAGGAGGCGAACGGTGTGAGGAGTCAGAGGAGGAAACCGGAGCGTCACCTCGTTACTCAGCGTACTTCCATTGATCCAATTCTGCCCTGAGTAGCAGCTACACCCAGGGCTTCACAGCTGACAAACCATGACTAATGGTGTTCCACATGCAGCAGCGTGAGCCTGGTCCAATGTTCATGTGATGGGATTGCTAGTCACGGTGCCGCAGTGTGGAGACGTTCCTGGAGGTGTCGCCGTGTAGGAAGTGTGGTTTACAGATGTATCCTTGTGCTCTGCATATGCCAGGATTTCTTCCTTGGATATTCCTGTGGAGGGCGATGCAGCGTGCGCGGCTCCTTGCAGTCCTGCAGTGCGTGTGGAGGGAATAAAGGAGCGAGAGGAGAGGAGGCTGCAGTGGACGGAGGCCTCCAGCCGCCATAAATCACAGGAGCAGCAGGTCAACAGCCCATGAGGCCCGGTGTCCGTCGCAGGCTTTCCCAGGGGGAGGCTCTCACGGCAGGTCGAAGATCCATCCTTTCCTCCCTCGTCTTCCCAAGAAGCGGCCTTATTACAGCCTAAAGGAAGGGGAAATAAAGAGGAGGAGAGGGGGAGGGTGGAGGAGGAGAAGGAGAAAGAAACCTGTCAGCATTACTGGGCCATATAACAAGGTTTTTTCATTGCCAACAGCAGTGCACGTACGAGCAGCCAGTGTGTCAGTTGGACTCAGCCGCGGCCTGGTTCATGTTACTGTGAGTCTGCTGTAGTGTGTCATCACCTGTCTGCTGATGTCGGTGATGGTGTCCAGCCTATTTAGACTAAAGTCCTGTGTGTGTTTGGTTTTCAATGCTAAACAAATACAGCATTTATGAAAAGTCTCATAAAGACACTCAGTGCTTGGCAGCTGTAGTTTAAAAAAATAAAAAAAATCTTGGCACAAAATTCAGTTCACAGATTCATACAAATGTTGGCAGAGCTGGTTTACTGCAGATGTTTTGACTCACTTTGGTTCACACTGTGTCCAGACTGAAGAGACTGCTCTGTGCACTGGCTGCAGTCATTTTTCTTTTTAGCACCGTAAAAAGCTGATTTATATATATATTGACTTTTAATTAGATCTAAACCTCAACAACAATCATATGCAGCAGGTAGTAGTGGTGGTATTTATGTTTGAAACAATTACACAAAAAAATGTTAAAAAACATTGAATCTGGACTGACTGTTCACTGACACAACAGTCTGTTTGTTCCTTTTCTGCTCTTAGATTATAATTTTGGCTGCAGTTCAAATTCTGCTGTTTGATTTTTTCCATTTTCTCATATTTTATTTGTTCTTGAGCAAAGATTTTTTTCATTGTTTTTAAGTCTATCTTTTTTTTTTAAATAAGGTTTTAGTGGCGTATTTTCAATGGTGTTCCGTTGTCGTGAGTATAGGTGCCCTCTTGTGGCCACAGGTGATATGCGGTACATTTTGATACGAAAGTCTTTTTCGAGGTATAAGTCAGAGCAGCAGCCAGAATGTTCAAATCAATGTGACTGTGAAAGTCCATAAAATGCCCCATAAAACGGTTGAAATATTCGGCAAATTTACGAAAGAAAGAAAGAAAAAAAAAAGAAAAGAAAAGAAAAGAAAACTCCACTCATGTTGAGAGCTTGAGTTCCCAGCAGGAGACTTTGTGGCAAACTGGGCATATTTAATAACCAGAAGGGATTTAGAAAAGAAACCCAACAAAAAGCAGGCAGAAAAAAATGAGAGGAAACAGTGAGAATTGTTAATTGTTTTCCTCAGAGTGGGTTTGAATTTTTAAAGTTGATAATTTTATCTGTTGAATTGATTGTGTTAATTTCTTGTTTGTTATTTGTTGCGCTCCTTCCATTTATTGTTTTATTTCATTACTTTATATTTGATGTCAAACTTGTTATCACTGCTTCCCCAGGCTGGAGTTTCTTGTAAAAAGAATTGCTTCATTTTGATCCAGTTAAAATCTGGTTAAATACAAACTCTGTTTCCAGAAAGTACAAAAAAATGTGATCAATGTGATGATTGAATAATGTTGAGGATTGAATCACTGCTTCTTTGACAACAGTTGCCAGTTGTTTTTTTTGTTTTTCAGTTTCATCAGCCTCATATTCCTCATTCCATGCACTGGTCGCAGAATTATTCCACCACTTTGCTGACATTTAGTTTCCAAATCAAGCTCTTTCCTCCGTCACATTAACTCACGGCGCTCTCTCCGTGTGACAAATGTGTGTCATAAATAAACATGAGCCTTTCTGCTGTCACTGTCTGTGAATTAACCAAAGCAAAATGGGCTTTTGATCCAGATCCGACGATTGTTGAGGTTGTTTTTCATCGCAGAAAAACACCGGCCTCGAAAAACAGGAAGTGAACGTTCCGACATAAAGGATAAGCCAAAGAAAAACACATTTAACGGCTTCCTTCAGGAACGACACTGGCTCTATTGTACTACGGCTGAGCAATATATAGGCTTTTGTTAAAAAAAAAAAGAAACCCGAGAGGCTGCCTCATCTGTAATCCACGCATGGATTTAAACTTTCGTATAGAACTGGCCTAGAATTTTAATTTACAATCATTCATAATCTGGTGATTAAACGATTGATTAGCGGAATGTTATGGATCAGTGAGGCGTTAACGGAGCCTGCTCTGACTCGGAGTCCCTCCTGTCGTCGTTTAAATCCTGTTAATTACCCAGAAGACGACAACTTTGCCGTAATACACGCCGCAAAGGTGGAAGAATGTTCTGGAATGTTAAAATGAAGCCACGGGGACGGACGGTATATCACACGGTGAACGGGAATGTGGTCGACGTGATTCGACGGCACGTGAGTGCCTGATGGAGCGGATGAGACGACGGACATTTACAGCAAATGATTAAACACTGAAGAGGAGAGAAGAGTCGTGATGAAGGCGTGCGTTTTCTGCATTGGATTTGGATAATAAAAAAATCCGAGCAGGGAAGTTGGTCATAAATAACAACAGGATGTTTGACGGCTATCGTTAAACATCTGTACTCCTGCAGGAGCCGTGTGGAGGCCTCTGAGTGCTGACCCTTCTTCTATACTTCACTTACACCCTGTTAATTACAGTGCACTACGAATAGGCAACGTGGAAGGGCTGTGGACTGAGAGAGAGAGAGAGAGAGAGACTATTGCTGTGTCTGTGGTGCAGGCCATTATCTTGCTGAATAGCCAGTGTTTCCTTGTCAGACAGTTGTATTTGCACTGAGCGGCTGCAGGCGTCCGGGTGGATCAAAACACGGACAAAGCAGAGTGGATTCAATGGGACTTTTCTGTCTGGTCCGTCGATTGTTCCGTCAAACACAAAAGAAGATAGACCCTGGTGGCGAGGCTGAGAATGAGCCCAAAATCCCTCCACCTCCGACCGAGTCAGAAAAAAAGTGAAGACCTCAGAGAAGTGTAGGGTCTGTGTGGAGGGGATGAAATGTTTTCACAATGATTGAATTTTTTTGTAAAGGGCCAGAAATTGGTTGGAAATCGCAGCTCTATTTCTATTTCTATTTCTTTTTTTTTCTTTTTTTTTATTGGAAATCGCAGCCCTATTTCTATTTCTATTTTTTTTTTTTGCAGAAAAGTATTCGAGTGAATGAATCTGTGTGCTTTTAGTTGAAAATTGCTCTGTTTTGGTGACGTCTTTGTGACTGTAGCTCAGTGTCTGTGACTGTGTTCTCACCACCCTTATATGTCATCTAGCTAATGCTAATGATAATTTTAACTTTGAGTATAGTTAGGAAACTCTGGGGTAAAATTTACGATGAAAGATGTGGCCATAAAACTAATGAAACTGATGTTTTTGTTTTATTCTATATCAGTGTTTCTACATGACCTAAAAAAGAGGTAAATAATACAGTATGAAGGTTTGTTTCTCTGTCACGATGATAATAAATGTCCCTGTTCCTTCGACATGGATGTTTATTATTTACGGCACAAACTCGGAGTTTAAAACAGCAAAGTCTCACCTACTTAAAGATGCTGTTTTTTCCCTGAAGTTTTCAGCTGCTGCGATGGCTCCGTCAGAGCTGAGCTCACACTTGTTTACAGCAGCCAGAGAAATCATTTGATTCTGCTGCTGCTGCAGATGCTGAGCACTGTCACCTGTGGGCTTTAAAGAACACTGAGATGTTTTGCAGACTCTGGTTTGTTAGGCTTCAAATATATTCCACTCTCCTGCCTCCCTCTTTCATGCTTCTCCTGCTCTCTAAACTGTCGCCTCATCACTATAAGGATGATCAAACATTTGTGTCAGTGTCAGCAACAGCGCAGCGGCGAGGCGGCGGTCTACGCTGCTGATCGTTTTGTCCGATATTTATGTCGGGTTGTCTTCATTAGGGCCTGGAATGAGAGCCATATGTGGCCTTGGCTTCCAGCCACCGCCATCATCTCAGCAGGTGTTGTGAGCACGCCTTTGTGTCGGAGTCAGCGTATGCTGAGCTGCTTTCAGGAGATTGGTTTGAGTGTGCGGCGAACAGAAGGCCGGCCAACGTGAACGCCGACACGTCGACGTTCTGCTCACGTTCGTGGTGTGTGATGAGAGTGAGTTTAAAAGGTTGGACCAAAACTCCAGCTGATCGATGTCACGATGGAACTTCAACTGGTTTCAGTTGATGACATTTGACGTCCGTCTTTGAACTCTTTAATTCAACCTTGTGCGTTTAGTGTCGATCAGACAGTTACCTGGCAACACTTTATGGCTTTAAAGCATGAAGACACAGTGGGAGCACCAGAATTAAGATGGTAAGAAGACTTGACCTGAATTTATCAGCCGTTAATGCCGTCAGGCAGGTCGGTCTGAAAAAAAAAAACCAACCCACTGGTCTGATTGAAATGCACCGCAAAACTATCCCACGGATGTGAACTGTCCTCTCCACTGGCCCAGGTCAAGGTAGAACAGCCAGACTGATTTGACCTAAAGAAGTTCATCCCTGGACATGCAGTATGTCCACACACCAAAGTTCTGCAGCAGGTGTCTCTCCCGGTCTACGGACCACAAACAAACCAAAAACTTCATCTGGACTCTGATGTTGGCGTCAGACTTGAGCCTGAATGGATCCATTTTGCCTTTGTGTCATTTTGAACCCGTCCAGGCAGGTGGCGGTGTAATGGTGCGGGACAGATTTTCTTGGCCCACCACAGTACAAGCCTCTTGGTGCCAACTGAGCATTGCTTAAACGCTGAGTATTATTGCAGATCGTGTCTGCCCCCTGGTGACCACAGATGGCTGCGTCCTGCAGAAAGGTACAAACTGTACCTTTACACCTACTGGTCAAAGCCCAAATCAAAGAGAGGAACTTAAACCACAGGAGGAGTTAGAAAACCTACGGCATCAGGACAGATCGACAGTGGGATTCAGGAGGGACTGATGATTTTTCTTACTTGGCAGCTTGTGGATTTGAACCTGAAACCTTCCAGACCTTAACCGCCCATCCACCACGGCCCCAGTTTGGAGAAAAATATGACAACGATATGTTAAGTTGACCACAGATCTTTCCAGGTCTCTTCCTGTTCCGTCCGACCTGATTTTTCAAGTCACGTCTTCTTCAGAGCAAGTCTTCACAGCCTCCGCCCACACACTGATCACGTTAACCGCCCATCCACCACGGCCCCAGTTTGGAGAAAAATATGACAACGATATGTTAAGTTGACTACAGATCTTTCCAGGTCTCTTCCTGTTCCGTCCGACCTGATTTTTCAAGTCACGTCTTCTTCAGAGCAAGTCTTCACAGCCTCCGCCCACACACTGATCACGAAGCCGCTCTATCGCAGCACATCACGGCGCCACGTCCCATAATCCCCGGCCACATGTGTCTGGTTTCCCGTTGGGACCAATCACAGACCCTCAGTCGTTGATATTGATTTTCTCAGTCGCTCTGAAGAATAAGTGGTGACATCTCAGTAGATTTCCTAACTGAAGCCTGCTCCCCCTGCTGTCTCTGCTGCGTCATTACACTCTACTTCTACTGTATCCGAAGGATCAACGTGGAGGACGATCACAATTCTAAACATGTTTTTTTTTTTTTTTATCTTTCAGTCCTACTTGCGCCAGTTCAGAAGCAAACGCCTCAATTATTCAAAACACAACAAACACTGTCTGTGTTTGTTGTGGTTTTCTGTTGTTTTTTTTTTCGCCTGCTCTTAGATATCCAATCTCTTGTTTTCTTGTTATCCTTGCATAATAAGCTTGTAATTGCCTGTGGGGTTGGAATACTGAGGAGAATGAGAAACTTAGAAGACCGCTGTGGTTTGAAGAAACACTGATGTTTTTTATTTGGTCATTTTCTCTGATTGTAAAGGCAGATACAAGCTCAAAGGAGGAAACGTATAAATATATACATATATTTATATATGTATATTTTACACTTCACATTTTCTTCCTGTCAGTTTGATTCATGTCCACAGATCAAATCCACCTCATATATTTTAAGATAAATCACAGAGGCTGTGGTTTGGAGAAATTGTCAGATTTTCTCTTTTCTAACGTCAAATTCAAACAATAGTTTTCATTTTTCTTCTGTACCTCTGAGGTTTGTGGATACTTTGATGCAGTAAACAAAGAAGATGAAACCCTGGTCCTCTAAAGTCCAGGAACTCTGACCAGAACACTAAAGAGTTCTTCTGAAACAATGATTAAATCCATACCAGTTATTTTTCCTTTTTGAACAAAGAATTCAAAAATATTGGTGCAATTTTCTCACCGTTTTACATAAAAACATATTAGAAATATATTCCATGTGTCTTACTACACCCCCCTCTCTCCCTTATTTTGGAAAGAAAAAAGGAAGATTAAAGATGCTGGGATTTTGAGCAGGAGGTAAAGGAGCTGAGGTAAAACTGAATATTTCTTGATATATATTTGTGTATATTTTCGGTGGAGGACCTGATGTGGTGTGTGATAGGCTGGAAGAGACCGGACGAAGACGTATGAAGGTGGGTGATGAAACGGACCATTTTGTGCCATGTTGAACGGAACGTGACGTAAAACCGTTGATCTGACGACGTGTGTTTGTATCTGTTCTCCTCTTTAAAAACCTCAGCAGCTGCTGATGAAAACCAAACACCCGGCTGAAAGGCTGCGGCCGTGTCATCTGTAACAGTCGGTGTATGGGCGGTGGATGTTGACGGCAGCTCCAGAGCGCCTTTCTTCCACCGTGGTCCTCAGCAGCAGAGACAGCAACGTGACAGACGTGTCTTTTTCTCCTCCTGCCAACGTTCAAACGGCCATAATGTGCGCGGCATCAATCACAGTCTATTCTTCATTCACAAAGCTGGGGGAGAGGATCAAAAGCAGCCAGCCACCAGTGAATCAAATCATGAAAGCCAAGAGCGGCCTTCTGACATCCCACCCAGCGGTAAGTCCCTGACTCACACACAGCACAGCATCCAGAAGAGACAATCTTTGAACTTGGTGTCCTGAAACTCTGCTGCTGAGAGCAGGGGTGTGACCACTTAACTTAGAACAGACAGCTGTGAAGAAGTTCAACCTCTGCTTCAACGCTTTTTTTCCCCCTTCTTTCTTTTTTTCCTACCAATTTGATAATAACACTGGTCTGAACCAGGGCTGATTCTAACGACAAAGAGAAGGTTGGCTGACTTGGTCCTCTGTAAATTCAGCTCTGATCCTTCCGTCCCATTAGCATCTGTAAGTCAGTGCCGTTACCTCAAAAGGGTTTCCTTTCATCTGACTCTCTCCAGAAAAAATATCCAATGTTTAACATTCATATTTTCACCAGTAGCCAGAAGCTACGGCCGCTCCTGCGATTAGAATTTAAAGCCTATATATATATATATATATAATTTTTTTCTATTAATCCTAATCAGATGTCAGTTCAGCTCTGAATTCTTTCATTACTGTTTTCAACAACATCACACACATTATCTGTGGTTTTTTCTTCTGTGATGTAGAGTTGGATCGGCCTTCACTACAACTGTGCTCAGTGCAGTAAAGAGAGTCATTTATAACTGATGTTTTTAGACCTTTGACACAAATTAATATTTACTCTGAAAACAGTGGTTTTTATACTTAATGGTGGATTTGATGATGTGAAAATTACCCCGAGGACAACTGCTCTTCTCTCAGTACAAATGTAACAGAAATAGTAATAATATATATATATGTATATATTTGGCAACATACAATGTAAAAAAAAATATTTGGCTAAACTAGCTACTGTAAAATGGTTAAATAACTTACGCTAATGTTGGTCCATTAAAAGTGGATGCACTTTTTGAAAAACAAAAAAACAAAAAGGTAGCAATGAACAATTGTTGGTTAGCATCACAACGCTAACTGCCTAAAATGTGTCACACATTTCTGCAACTGTCCAAAGGTAGAAAGACTAGAAGTTTTTAAAAAAAAGTTAAAAAAAGTAAAAAACCCTGGGGGAGTTTTTCAGACTACACTTTCAGCAAAGCTACAAATTACACTAATTGTTTTCTCCCAGTTTGACCAAATTCCACAGATTGCACTCAGTGAGGCATTACCGTATAAATCCCAGCTACTTTGTCCCCGGCTGTCGTTTATTTTTAAACCTTTCAAGTGAGTAATAAAAATAAGGGATTCACGATTAATTAAGTTTTCCATTTTTATCTCTAATGCAAAAATAAAACACACACACACACACACACACACACACACCTCTGAGCACAAACATTGCTGTGGCTCTGCTAATTGGATAGTTCCTTTAATTTGGTGGATGCCTTTTTTTAATGTTTTAAAGTTAAGGCCACAGAAGAGCTGTTAGTGCTGCAGTGATTACTATTACCCACAACTGAACACACACACACACACACACACACACAGAGTGTGTGGTGTTTTACGACACACTGGCGTGGCCCCTCGTTGTCCAGTGCGCCGGTCCAAGTGTTTAACCAGCACCTTGATTGAGCCACGTGATCCCAGCGTTTCAGATTCGTCGTCTTCGCTCAGAGAGAGAAGTGATTTCCATCCCGTGGTTTTACAGCCTCATCCATTTAATCTTTGTGTCAATAACGCACCCTCCCACAGACCTTATCTCCTCCCACCTCTCCAGCTTGCTATTTCGCCAAGAGAT